GCGGTGCTCAGCCCAGGCAGGGCATACCACCACCACATGCTTCACTGTATCCTCTAGGTGGTTCTCGCAATGACGACACTCGGGCGTTTCCTCCCGCTGGATCCGAAACAGGAACCTACCGAAGCTACCGTGCTACTGTGTCAGGCGGAAGGTGAGGACGCCGTGGCGTGTCTCAATTCACTTCTCAAAGAGGGGTCTTACCGCTGCTATAATAGCGTGCCCGGCCCTCGGTTGCGACAGTCGTTGTTTCCACTCTGCCATGAGATCTCGCCGGAGCTCATTCCGCCACGCACTAATTTGGCGCGGCAGACCTCGCCGGCGACGCGCTTCTGCACGCAAACTGTAGACGCTTCCAGATTCCATGGCGGTGATCCGGCAAGGACGTTCGCCGCCTCCCCGGAGATCGTGCGATATCCGCGGATTATTCGGATAGCCATGACTCTCTGGGACGCGACCAGTATACAAGCTGGCCGCCGCCTTAAGTCCGGCCACATAGGGGCCAGTAGAGTAGAATCGCACAATCCCCATATACAACCTCCGGCAGGAGGCGTTTGCCCCCGAGTTTGGGAAGGAGCCGCTTGTATGCCGCTGTATTTCCAAAACGACACGCCCTCCAAGTGTTCAAGAAACTAGCATAAAATCATTCTCTTAAATAAAAAAAAATTACAAAAAAAAACCGCCTTCAAAAAAGTCAAGCGATAAAAGTTCTTACACTAAAAAGTTAAAAAAAAAATTTGAAATGCTGTAAAGAAACTTAATTTATAGGTAAACTTATTTGACATAAATATTTTGCAAATATTCAAAATGTATTACCTACTTATTTTTGGAGTCGGTGCCAGCCTAGGCAAGGAAAAAAAAACATACAATCGAATTGAGAACCTCCTCCTTTTTTTGAAGTCGGTTAAAAAATTATGAATAAAAAAACAACAGGAAAAACAAAGATCGAAGTTAGACTTTACATAGGTATTTTTTTTTAATATAAAGTGTTTCCCCACGCTAGGATTTTCTCCTGTGTCGTAGGTGCGGTTACAAACATACAATCCCACATACACATCAAAGAGATTACGTGCGGGAATCGAAACCGCGACACTTTGCGCGGCAGCCAGTTGCTCAGTCACCGCACCAACCGTGCAATCATTAATTTTATCATCAAATTACCGTGAACAGTTCATGGATAAATACACCTTGATAATTAAAACACCTTAGTTAAAATCAACTATAATTTTATATTTGGTTACAAGGTCAAATCAATTAGATGAGATTTTAAAGTAGATTTATGGCAACTACAAAAGAATATAAATACACAAAGATCTTCCAAAATGTAAACAAAATAATTAATAATTAATGTTATAATCTTGCCATAAGCTCTTAAATATGTTGGAGAAAGGTGGTATAGAGTAGGTTTGTCTTAGTCTACTGGTATTTGTTCAACATATTTTTATTTAATCTCTTTATTTCAACAAATAACCATTGTCAATAACATAACACGACCCTGTGACACTCTTAGCCTTGTCACTGGCTAGATACAGAATTAAATCAGCAATCTCATCAGCGTCTGAAGATCTGCCTACAGCAGTCATAGCCGCAGGATTTGTGTCGCGAACTTGTTCTTCAGATAAGCCAGAATTTGGTAAAATGTCTGTTATAACTGGTCCAGGATTAACAGCATTTACTCTTACTCCAGAAGGAGCTAGCTCCAATGCCGCAGCTCTTGTGAAATGGTCCAAAGCAGCTTTGGAAACACTGTAACACATTACCCCTGGAACCTTGATGGACGTGGACACCACGCTAGAGATATTGACAATATTGCCTTTAGTTTTCACAAGATGTGGACCCGCCAAGTTTGTAAGATGAACGACTGAACGCAAATTCGTATTCATCACTTCATCGAATCTCTTCAATAAGTTAGGCTCCAATATACTCGCATATCGCACTATCCCAGCGTTGTTGACGAGTACATCCAGTTTCCCAAACTTGTCGACAGTTTGCTGTACGATGGTGTTTGCTTCCTCTTCTTTGGAGACATCTGCTCTGATGACCAGGACGTTGGCTCCGTGCTCCTGGCAGCGGCTCGCCACTTCCTTCAGCTTAGCTTCATTTCTTCCCACGAAGGCTACAGACGCACCTTCTTTAGCGAACAATTTCACTGCAGCTGCACCGATACCGGAGCTACCGCCTGTTACAAGTACTACTTTATTAGCGAACATTGTAAGCGACTTTACAGCACGATATTTGGATGATCACTAAGCCGGCACAATTTTATGCCGAATCATATAAAACTAATTTTAGAGTTCCGCAGACCAAGTAGGAAGCAATTTTGTTCTATGTCAAATCATTACTCACAGCTGTTCGAGTTAGTGTTTCACGGTGTTAATACTTGACCTTGGTTTGAACCTACAATTTAAAAGTAAACAGGTCAAAATTGGTTCAAAGTTTATGTTATGTATCTGTAATAGTACAGATATAGATCTATATTGAATTTGAAATTACCGTGATTAGTATACTGTTTGTTATACGGAATTCAGCATCCTCGTACAGATTTAGTACTAGCACAAAAAATGCGCTGTCATGCTTACTATACGTATAGCGACGCTGGCGCCGGTTTAGTAGTTATTGCATAATATTTGTTTTTCGATAGTCATATCATAACTCGTTCTTAACAAAATCATATTTAAACATAAAGCTTATATTTCTACTAATAGGTTTCCTCCATTTCGCCAAGTAATGATAATATATTTCTACCACAACTCCAGCTCGGCAGCTAGTTACCTTACCTACCACTCTTTACATATACCATTCATTACTACTAATACTACAACAAATAGAAATACTATAACTGTAACAAAATGAAAGGAAACAACAATTATACACACATTTAATTGCGCAAAGAATAAGGATAGGATTATAAAAATGAAATGTGAATCATCAATCATGGACACTACCAAAATGTTAAATTAATGCCATTCCATTATCTATAACATAACAATTACCAGTATTACTTTTAGCCTTGTCACTAGCTAAATACAAAATCAAGTTAGCCACTCCCACAGGATCGCATATTTTCTTCAGGACAGTCAATACAGCCATCTCTTCGAAACTAACACACACACACACACACACACACACACACACACACACACACACACACACACACACACACACACACACACACACACACACACACACACACACACACACACACACACACACACACACACAAACACACACACACACGCATACACACACACACACACACGCGCACGCACACGCACGCACACGAACATGTACCTACCCTGTGACTTATAATTAGCATAAAATAGTATGTTAGGGGGGCCTGGAGTTCTATAGTACAGGCCTAGGCTTAGTTTAGACTCCAGATCTCCCACAAATTGCCTTTCGTTACTGTCAACTGGTATATTTAACTTTAAAGAGTTTCCTTGTACGTCATTTGTAATTTGTGGAAATAAATAAAACATTTTTATAATATTATTATTATTAAAGCTGCTTTTGAAATAGTATATGATGGATAACCTTTCCGTTAAAAAAAATTATGATGTTTTGTTTCTCGATTCTGAAATCCAACCCAAGAATTGTTTGACAATCGATTCACGAGTTACTCAATAACATATTATATGACGTAAGTCGCGTAACCGTAAATTAGTCATCAGCAAACCGACAATTTGATAAAGCTACTAGTTGCTCTAACTAGTTTACAAGGTCATTCACATGACAATTAAATTCTATTTTTACTTTATCGTCTATAAATACTACTAAAATTACAATACTATTTATACGACACGCTTTTCAAGTGTTCAAGAAAATAGCGTAAGTACTCTTATTCTTTAAAGGCCGTCAACGGCTTCTATTTTGCTGGTTTCCATGGCCTCAACCGGGGTTGAGGGTGCAAGCCAACAATGTACCGTGGCCTCGGTGTACAGCTGAAGAAGGGTTTGGGTTTTATTTTTTACACTCCCTTTCACTCCAAGGGTTGCCAGGTCGCTAGGCCTTATAGCCGGACAGACCAGCCCGTTTAGCCGGACATTTGGCTAAAAGGGTCGGACACCCTACATTGTTAAGGATTTTGTATCTCAGTATTAATAGGTACGACAAGATTTAATATAAATCAAGCATTTTTGATTATTATCATAAATCTTGTTGAATTCTTATGAAATAATTAATAAGTCTAAGTCTTTGCTTCGCTCCAGCCATGTTCGGTGTTTCGTTTCACTCGTTAGCGATTGTGAAAAGTTTAGGTAAAAAGCCTTACAAAAACCGGACAGGCCGGACACCGATTATTTTGGCCGGACTAGCAATCAAAAAGCCTACCTATGTCCGGCTTTATCCGGTCGCCTGGCAACGCTCTGTCTCCACCCAAGGCGAAAGAAGTCATTCGACGCTACTCGGTTCCTATTGAATGTAGCGCGTGATAGTTAAATAGCTATAATTGGATAGATAATTGTCTAATTCGAACCAGTAGTTCCAGAGATTAGCACATTCAAACAAACAAACTACGCCTTTATAATATTTCTAAAAAAAAACTACAGGAAAAATAAAGATCGAAGTTAGACTTTATATAGGTAATATATTTTTTAATATAAAGCGTTGACCCTCGCTTGGATTTTCTGTTGTGTCGTAGGTGCGGTTACAAACATACAATTTACATACACATCACACCCAGACCCACAACAACAATTTGCGGATAAAACAAAGAGTAGATTACGTGCGGGAATCGAACCCGCGACACTTTGCGCGGCAGCCAGTTGCCCAGTCACCGCACTAACCGTGCAATCATTAATTATATCATCAAATTATACACCTTAGTTTAAATCAACTATAATTTTATATTTAGTTACAAGGTCAAATCAATTAGATGAGATTTTAAAGTAGATTTATGGCAACTACAAAAGATTATAAATACACAAAAATCTAACAAAATGTAAACAAAACTCTTCACAAACCTTAATATATTTTTGCTAATAAATAATTCATGTTATCATCTTGCCATAAGGTCTAAAATATGGAGAAAGGTGGTATAGAGTAAGTTGGTCTTAGTCTACTGGTATTTGTACAATATATTGTTATTTAATCTCCTTATTTCAACAAATAACCATTGTCAATAACATAACACGACCCTGTGACACTCTTAGCCTTGTCACTGGCTAGATACAGAATTAAATCAGCAATCTCATCAGCGTCTGAAGATCTGCCTACAGCAGTCATAGCCGCAGGATTTGTGTTGCGAACTTGTTCTTCAGATAAGCCAGAATTTGGTAAAATGTCTGTTATAACTGGTCCAGGATTAACAGCATTTACTCTTACTCCAGAAGGAGCTAGCTCCAATGCTGCAGCTCTTGTGAAATGGTCCAAAGCAGCTTTGGAAACACTGTAACACATTACCCCTGGAACCTTGATGGACGTGGACACCACGCTAGAGATATTGACAATATTGCCTTTAGTTTTCACAAGATGTGGACCCGCCAAGTTAGTAAGATGAACGACTGAACGCAAATTTGTATTCATCACTTCATCGAATCTCGTCAATAAGTTAGGCTCCAATATACTCGCATATCGCACTATCCCAGCGTTGTTGACGAGTACATCCAGTTTCCCAAACTTGTCGACAGTTTGCTGTACGATGGTGTTTGCTTCCTCTTCTTTGGAGACATCTGCTCTGATGACCAGGACGTTGGCTCCGTGCTCCTGGCAGCGGCTCGCCACTTCCTTCAGCTTAGCTTCATTTCTTCCCACGAAGGCTACAGACGCACCTTCTTTAGCGAACAATTTCACTGCAGCTGCACCGATACCGGAGCTACCTCCTGTTACAAGTACCACTTTATTAGCGAACATTGTAAGCGACTTTACAGCACGATATTTGGATGATCACTAAGCCGGCACAATTTTATGCCGAATCATATTAAACTAATTTTAGAGTTCCGCAGACCAAGTAGGAAGCAATTTTGTTCTACGTCAATTCATTACTCACAGCTATTCGAGTTAGTGTTTCACGGTGTTAATACTTGACCTTGGTTTGAACCTACAATTTAAAAGTAAACAGGTCAAAATTGGTTCAAAGTTTATGTTGTGTATCTGTAATAGTACAGATATAGATATATATAGAATTTGAAAATAACAGTGATAAGTATACTGTTTGTTATACGGAATTCAGCATCCTCGTACAGATTTAGTACTGGCACAAAAAATGCGCTGTCATGCTTACTATACGTATGGCGACGCTGGCGCCGGTTTAGTAGTTATTGCATAATATTTGTTTTTCGATACTCATATCATAACTCGTTCTTAACATAATCATATTTACACATAGAGTTAATATTTCTACTAATAGGATTCCTCCAATTACGCCGAGTAATGATAATATATTTCTACCACAACTCCAGCTCGGCAGCTAGTTACCTTACATATCAATATTTATACTACAACAAATAGAAACACCATAAATAAAAGAAAATAAAAGGAAACAACGTTGTTATGCACATTTAATTACAGAAAGTAATATGATAATAAAAATAAAATGTGAATCATCAATGGCCAATATTAAAATGTTAAATTAATGCCATTCCATTATCTATAACATAGCAACTACCCGTAATACTTTTAGCCTTGTTACTAGCTAAATACAAAATCAAGTTAGCCACTTCCACAGGATCGCATACTTTCTTCAGTGCAGTCAATACAGCTATCTCTTCAAAACTGCCAGGAATCCCGGCATGGACCAAAATATTCGTGGTACGAAGTCCTGGATTAACAGCATTCACTCTAACGCTTGACGATGCAAACTCCATAGCAGACACACGAGTAAAATGATTTAAAGCTGCTTTTGTTATAGTATATGATGGATAACCATTCCTTGTTCGTGCTTCAATGCCCGTTATACTACATGTGTTGACTATACAACCTTTGGACTACACTAAGTATGGAGCAGCTAAACATGTTAACACAACTACCGCACGTAAATTTACATTCATAACATCATCGTACGTATCGATGAGAGTTCCATCTCATATTTTTCCTTCCTTTATAGTGCCTGCATTATTTACTTGAATGTCAAGTCTTCCAAACTCTTTGATTGTAGTTTTGATTATTTTCTTTAGGTCTTCTTTGTTAGCGACGTCAGCGGTTACGATAAGGACTTTGTTACCAAATTGTTTGCTCTTATCTCCAGTATTGTGAGCTCGTTCTTCACTGCAATCTACTGTGACAACGTGAGCACCTTCTTCAGCGAATGACAATGCAGTTGCTGCTCCTACAGCAGACCCGGATCCCGTAATTAATGCTACTTAATTCGTGAACGACATTTGTAGTATTGTGTCACAGTTTAATTGTTTGCAAAATGCACTGCACTACATCACCAGTGTAATGCACATTTTATCCACTAAATGAACCTTATTCGTTTCAATATATCAGCATCATTGTGATGATATTGACTTTATTTGAATAAGATTTTTATAGTTTTGTAAACGTTTATTTTTATCGAAACAAGTACAAATATTTAATTATACCTACCTAGATCAGTAAATGTCACACGCCGTGTTCCGACGTGTGACGTCCAGAATTGAAGTGTTAAATAATATGTTTCTATGGGATAACTATTAAAATTTTATACAATAAACATATAATGGTCCGTAAAATAAATACTCTTATAAGTGCAAATGAACTCTTAACTAGAAATCCAAAAAAAACAACATTATCTGTAACCATACCGTTTCATACATACTGATCATACATAAATCACATTAAAAAATAAATATTTCGGATAATACCAAACTATTTGTACTCTATAGTCATCGTTTGGTTATATAAAAAGTAGGTAAAACATTTATAATCGGCGATTGGTAAGTTACAAAGAAAATGTCTTTATGTAATGTTTGAATCACAGGATGTCGATCGGTATCGACCGATCGATATCCGATAGATGATGTATTTCACATATTTCATATGTGATTTGTGATATTGCTGTATATAATAGCATTTGGTGAAGAAGACTCTAATACAGTCACTGAAGATTTAAACGCTGACAATTAAACTACAAAAAAAATGTGAAAACAGACCAATGCTGAAGCTATCGGCTTTGTAATTGCATTGCATAATAACACTAAATTTATTTTAGATTTTTAGAAAAATATGACAACTAGTATCAAAAGCTTAAACCTTAGTGTTAAATGTTTGATTTATTACTAGATACACTTTTAGGTCCTTTAGTTAGATCACTTACTTAACATAATATATTTCATAAACTTAATAATAATTTAGAACTTTAAGGGTACTCCATTATCCACACCATATTCAGAGCCTGTAACGCCTTTAGCTTTATCACTAGCCAGGAACAGGATCACATCAGCTACTTCCTCAGGTTCAGATATTCTCTTGAGAGCAGTGTCTTCCAGAGTAGTTTCCCATACCTTATCAACCTCCAAGTTCGTCAGCATGTTAGTACGTACAGGGCCTGGACTAACAATATTCACTCGGACGCCAGAAGCTGCTAACTCTAAAGCTGCACCATGGGTGAAATGATTTAAAGCTGCTTTGGAGAGACAGTACATCATCAGCTGTGGTGTCTGGACGTACGTCTTAGCGAGTATGCTGGAGATGTTAATGATGTTTCCTTTTGTTTTGATCAAGTATGGCGCCGCCAAACTGGTCATATGCACCACTGCACGTAGGTTAACACTAGTCACTTCGTCGTAAATCTTCATAACATCAGGGCTTGTAAGTGTTGTATTTTTCAGTATGGCAGCGTTATTGACAAGGATGTCTAGTCTGCCGAACTCTTCAATCGTCTTCTTGACTATAGTCTGTGCCTGTGCGTCGTCGGCCACATCTGCTTTTATGATGAGAGTCTTGCTGCCGAGTTGCTCACACCGCTGCGCTACTGCTTTGAGCCCAGCCTCGTTCCTTCCTGTGATGGCGATGCTGGCGCCTTCTTTAGCAAATTTCTCAGCAGTAATTGCTCCGATCCCGGCGCTACCTCCAGTGATCAGCACCACTTTGTTCTTGAAACTCATGTTGGGACTGTTATAATTTTGGACGTATAATGTATTATGTGTTGACCGTCTTATTCCCTTTTATATTTTTACATTATCTATGTTATATCTTGATTATTCTGATTGCACGGTAGCGGTAACTTATAATTGATTTAATTGATTGATTACGTTTGGTAATGTATCGTGGCTTGTTGCTAGTTCGTACTTAGGTATGTTTGGTAAGTTATTCTCGAGTATGCTGTAGATCGAGATCACTACATCGACGAACAACTTTTTTTGATATTATTTTCTGCCTATTTTCTTCCGTCTTCGCTAGGTGCCAAATAACAAAGCCGTCAATTTTTTTACAAATTTCCACTTGCAGCGTTACTTTTATACAGCTGGGGTTGCGGGTCAATGTTCCTAGGTAATTTTTAGACAGTAGAAGTCTGACCGTACCGTTACCCCATCCAGCGAGAAAAGTCATTTTATGATTTTCTACCGTACCTCCTAAAGTAATTATTACAAAATAATAAATAACACATAGTTTTGAAAGAACAAGGACTTACTTTTAGAGGAGTATTCCAAAATATGACCCTTATATTATCAATTATCACAAACATTATGGCGATAAAAATCACATTGTTAATCAGCTGTCTTAAAAATAATAACTACACTGGCATCTTGATAAAACGATAACTACCATTATAATTATGTAAAACTAGCTTTTACCAACAGCTTTGCTTTCGCCATAAATTAGTGTCGTGTTAAATACAAGTAAATATGTGTAGCGTCTCAAGTTCCTCACAAAAATGTAAAGGCAAAGTTACCTCGCATCGAGATTGAGATGATATTTAATTCAAGGCACTTATGCATTTGAATTATATTCTGTTAATTTCGTCATTTCACCGCCACCCGCACCTCTGTACGCACAAATTAGAAATACATAATTATGTACAAAGTTTTTTCGGACTTTAATTTCAAGCCCCAGTGTATATAAATATCTATACAATATGTCTGCTTAAAGTCGTAGTAGACATCACCAGTGTCCTTTTTTAACGCCTTTCTACTTTTAAAACATGAAGAGTAGGTACTCCTTTATCGATCCCTAGTTTGAGCCTCTTACGCCTTTAACATTATCACAGTCTAAGAACCAAATTACATCAGCTGCTTCAGCAGGTTCCGATATTTTGAGTAATAAAGAATATACCGTACTAAGTTTGAACCTATTATCATCAACAAAGTATGTGCTTATAACTGAGTAAGTCAGTTTCACTTTTGGTTTGATATATTATTATATTAAGCATGTGGTGTTCACCTGTAAGTGATTGGTGCAATGTAATAATATCGTAAAGCATGTGTTTTTTGTGACAATCTCCGGCCACCGTAAGCGCGATCTGCGAGCGGCGTGTAAGGGAAACTCGCCACCAGACTAGAACAAGACCCGAGGGAAGTCATTTGATGAATCTCCCCCCTCAAAAAAACGTGTGTTTTATAATTTAAATTGTGTAAACAATTGTTGGTGAACCTATTATAATAAAATAGAATAGACTACTACATAGATAGATGCTAAAGAATAAGTATTCCGCCATACTTGAATTACTTAACGATTCTCATTGAATATTTACATAAAACAGTACTTAGCAATTCTTTGCGTAACAAAATCGTTACTAAGGAACGGTTTTAGTAATATTTAAAAATGTCTTTTGGTACAGCGGTCAGCATGCGTTTTCGCATACCTGGGGCGTTTGTACAAAACGTCTTGTGTTTGAAGCAGAAATTCCGCGCAAAAACCAACTTATGATCATTAACGTCGTAATCGTCTTCATTAATAAGGCCTTAGAGAAAGAGAGTAGATGGACAATTCTTTCACAAAGTTTCTCATTCATACTCAATTTAAATCACCACTGTAAGCCCAGGTCTACGGACGGCTGCCTGGTCGGCAGGCTAGGTGCTTGCTTCCCGACCAGAACCAGAGTCGAACGTATAGCGAGTGAAAACAGATGGAGCTGAAAAGGCCTTATGTTAGCAATTATATCAGCAATTACGTACAGCGACCCCGGTCTGTGCAGGAGAAGAAACGGGATGGACACACAAATCCTATATTGCAATAAATATTATCATGCATTAACCGTTCAGAACTTATGCTCATGATAAAGACAAGGATAACGTCATTACGAATATTATTACCTGAATGTAACATGGAAATAATGAGGTGTGGTCCGATTAGCAACAACAAAATGCATTTTGCCACGATACCTACATTGATCGATTTCTATCAAAAATATACATTATAGGTGTTGGCTTCCGGATATCATTCAAGAAACATTACCTATTACTTTTCGATAATTTGTACAGTCTTACTTTTTTTTATACTTGACCACTATTTCGCCTGCCAGTAAGCGACCTATAATGGAGTACGCCTAACAATAAGCAACCTATTCACTCGGGCCAGGTCACATCTTTCGGAGTCAAGAGTCCAGCAAGGAATCTCGTACCTTAGCTTAGAAAACTTGTGACGAATCGCTTCATAAGTGGGGCATGTGACATCCCAACCATAAAGCGATGACCGCCGATTGTATACTGGTACGATGGTGGAAAAGACTAGACGGAATCAAGTTGTCCAGTTCCTCTGGACAGTCTCCGAAATGTACCTATCCGATAAAATACTGAATGGCGTCTGTGTTCAAGTCTTTACTTTGAAGTCGGACCTCCACACAAGCGCCTTGTTGTTGATTATGTTCGCGAATTTGAAATTAATCAATAAAAACATAACTAGGTGTACCTTGAGCAAGCGTGGTGATTAATGCTCAAGCCTTCTCCTTGTGCAAAGAGGCCTTGCTCAGCAGAGGGCACTTAAAGGTGGATGATAAAATAAAGAAAGTTGGATGTTCTATCTGCATACAAAAACATGTACATCGTACATACACAAACAAAAACATTTTAATGAATTACCTTCGTATAATACCATTTGGATATATGACGGTAAGTTTAGCTAGAGGGTACCGTCAGTATAGTACTGGGTAACCTAACGGAACCAATACAGTGTGCCTATAAATCCAACGGGGCGTCCGAACACTTCAGCTGTCTTAACCGCGCACTCCTGCTTGGCGAATTAAGATTCTAATTATCTGGATATGAAATTAAAGAATGACAAGATTATAAAAATAGTTTATTAAAATATTGACAATTAAAAGTCTGGGAGAGTCATGCTTCGGCACGAATGGGCCGGCTCGATCGGAATGATACCTCGCGGTGTGTTTCGCCGTGAGAGAGAGGTTACTAGACGCCCTGAAACCTGTATGAAAAAAATATGCAATTGACAGTTAGGACTGCGGGCCAGTAAAAATGCTGTCAAGTTTTTGGATTTTGTTCCTACGTTTTTGTGCCTCATACTTTAGCAGGAAATATTCTTATTAAGAACTTAAATCATCACGAAACCATCATCATCAGCCTATAATTGCCCACTGCTGAGCAAAAGCCTCTTCTCATACAGAGAAGGTTAGAGCATTAATCACTACGCTTGCTCAATACGGGTTGGCGATTTCAAACTTATAATTAGAAATTATAAGTCCAGGTTCCCTCACGATGTTTATCTTCACCGTATGTCAGTGGTGTCTAAATAATCATAGAAAGTACATACCTATAACTTGAAAAAAGTCACATTGGTACTTGCCAGGTTTCGAACCCACACCCTCATGCATGAGAAGCAGGCTCCTTAACCTCCGGGCCACCACAACACGAGACCATACGTACCATTATTTTGAAGAGCCAAAACAATGAAATCCTTATCCAGTATTTCAACTAATCTTAGGTACACCAGCCATATGTTAGCCAAGAAAGGGTTGAGCAAGTGCTACCTGTGGGGGCTGGGTGGGGGTGTAGGCGGGGTAGGGGCAAGGATTTACACCCCTCATTTGTTTGCGATGACCCCCAGCACTATCTCCTTAGAGCGTCTTGGTATCGCCTTGGCTTAAGCGTCGCTAACATTATTATGTTTTTGGCGCTTTTTGTTTACCTTTATGAACTTATTAGTTATTAAAGTACATACTTTCATGCTAGTTATGCTTTTCCTAGGTTTTATTTGCCGAAGGAGATAAATTCGGTAGTTTGCTAGGTCAGAAATAAATTAAGTCGACGTTTCAATACAATAAAATACTTATTGAAAAATAACTATACTTTTGTTTGTCGATATGTCGATACACTAAATTTTCAGTACTTTTTTATCAAATTTTTAATAAATAAATTAGCTATTTGACGCATAAATCTAAGACGTTAATTTGGAGTTTCATACAAATTTCATAGAAAATCCTCGACCGCGGTTTAAATGTGGATTCAGAATTCAGTCATAAGGCTATTCGACACATATAAATATTTCATATTATATTGGATTTCTATGACGCGGATTAAACTGCAACACCATAATGTAGTCGATTATTTAAAAATAAAACTAAAAACTCTACTTTTCCTTTCCCGAATCGAGAATTCGAGATCTTCAACATTCTTAATTGCACGTACTTCAGCAATGAAACAATGAAACAATAAAATAATGAATTAATATTTGCAAATAGTCAATTTATGTGTGAAAAACTAGATGAAGCCGGCATTTCCTATCTGACTACTCTGAGAAGAAATGCCGAAACAAACTAACTAACAATGAAAAGCAAACTTATTCACTTTTAAAAGCCTGCCAATGTATCTGCAAATCTCCATGGGTGACTTTAGTAGCTTACCATGAGTTCACCCATCTACTCTTTTGTCACCTGCACCATTAAAACATGCTACACAAGCATAAATATGACTCAATTTAAACACGAAACTTATCTCAAATCATTTAAAAAATGCATAAACGTCGGCCATTTTGTTAATGCTCACTTTACGTCGTTTTAATATTAAGACCGTTGGCAATATTTACGTTGGTTATTAGCTAACACGAAAACACTGCCACTTATCCTCTCCTTCACTGCCTCCCGCCAAGATTGGAGGCTCTTATGCAATATAGTCTTCCAAGTTCAGTTAATGGTGGAACTTAGAGGTGTTTGCAAGATTTTTATAGTAGTTTGAACTGAATCTTAGTGTTTAGTTT